CTTAGCATAGTGCCTGGCACATACTAGGTACTTAATAAATGTTTGATGGGTTGAATGAAGCACATCTTTTTCCCTGAAGCCTTTCCTGATGTGCTTCTTCTCTAATATTGCTCATGCTATTCACCCTCCCAAACTCCTTTGGGTTTATTTTGTACACATTTATTCTGTATATACATACATATATATGTATGTGTATGTATACATACACACACACACACACACACACACACACACACACACGCGTGCATCTTCCCTGATGGAATATGAGCTTGTTGAGAGCAGGGATTGCTTCATTCTTTCTGTCTCCCCCATGTTTAGTGCCATGCCTGGCACATGGGGAGGGGGGCTGAACCTGTGATATCACAGGTATGGAAACTCCCAGATGAGGAAACTCCCTCTACCAAACAGGTCGGCACTGCAGCTTTAGAGTCTTAAGAGAGTTACCTGGGACACTGAGAGGTCAGATGACCCGCCAGGGTCACACAGCCAGTTGTCTTTCATTTTCAAAGAGGGCCAATAACATCACGGGTGATGTCTTAACCTGTGGCGTGAATTGGATTTGTGAGGCAGTTGCACAAAGTCATCAGCCTCACTCTCTTCCAGAGTCACTGAAATCCAGTGGCAGGACAAAAGTCAAGATGACTGGGGCGATGGCCCGGGATGCAGTGGATGACCTCGGTGTCTCCAATGTCTGATCAAGCTCTAAGCGCTCCACAGTGCCTGCTTCTGCTGCCTTCATGGCCCATGGAACAAATTGTTCTCATCCACCCATTCTATCAAGGAAGTCCTTACATACTTAGGGTAGACATCCCCCTAACTCTCTGTAGTAAATACATGCATACATATATGTATGTGTGTGGATTAAGAACATCTTAAATTTTATTTTAGCCAAGGGTCCATTTTTCTTTTATCTTGAGCTCTCGGTCCAGAAATCCACATCCCATGCTCAGGCACCATCTGTCTTCCTCTTCTGAGGCTGCTGCCTTCAAATGGAGGCAATGATAAACCACCACCTGTGCCTCAAAGTCTTCAAAGACTCACCTCATCTTCCTCATCTCCATCCCACTGCTGCTTGATTTGAGTCCTAGGAGTTCTCATTACACAGTTCTAATGGAGTGAGGGGCAGGGAGAGCAGTGGAAGTGCTCCTGCCCCTCACCCAGAGGAAGGCAGTAGCCAGGACACACAATTAATTCCCCAGGGATGACTATTCCAGGACACCTGCTTGTGAACATTTTCAGGCATGACAATTAAGTAGTAACCAAAAAGCCCTCCCCATCTTTAGAGGAATTCACTTCCATTTCCCCCAATTATGGTAGTTACAACCTCATTCAAAAATAAGCAAGTGGGAGCCCATGGCTGGGATCCCCCAAAAGTATGTTTTTTTGATGGGAGCTGTCACCTTGAGAGTTTCTGGATTAGCAGCACTGCTGACATCATTAGCAGAGTACAAGTCAAAGTTAACTCCACTTAACTCTTGGAAATCACATCCTAGTTTGCACTTGATGGCCTAAATGATTTTTGTACCTAGATGAATCACCAAATTACTGGGATTTTTCCAGTCCTTCTGGCAGCCTTCAGTGGAACAGTGGAGGGTAAACCCGAGACATTCCAATATGACAATTTTGAAGGCTACAGGTTGGGGATTTTGCAGGCAATATCACTGAACAAAGGAGTTCTGCAAATGCCATTTAGCTGAAATTTGGAGGCGAACAGAAGACCATATCAACTGAGCACTTACATACCATGTGGTGGGCATTAAACAAAAGGGAAGATCTAGTCCCTGCCATTTAGGAGCTAATATACCAAGGAGGCAAGGTGGCCACCCAAACACCTTCCTCCATGGTTGAGCTAGGTGGCATTGCTTGCTAGAATTAGCCTGAAGATGGCCAAGGGAGCTGTAGATTCTGTAGTGGAGAAGTGGGATCAACTATCTCGGAAAGAGGGAGTAAGCCAGCCAGAAGCACACCAAGGTGGAAAATGGAGAGGAAATAAAGGATATTAGAAAAAGGAAGGGCAGTTAGGTGGTGCAGCAGATAGAGCACTGACCCTGGAGTCAGGAGGACCTGAATTCAAATCCAGCCTCAGACACTTCTACCTGTGTGACTCTGAGCAAGTCACTTAACTCTGCCTCATCTATAAAATGAGCTGGAGAAGGAAATGGCAAACCACTCCAGTATCTTTGCCAAGAACACTCAAATGGGGTCAAGGAGAGTTGGATATTACTGAAACAACTCAACAACAGCAAAGACAAAAAACAGAACAAAAGAAAACAAAAATCGGGCCACCTCGTGAAATCAGGCCTCCCTTACCCCAAAGGTACAAAATTCTCCTCTCAGTCTTTTGTGGATCTAATGAAGTTCCTCTAACTCTAAACGACACTTTCTCAAGCCTCTGTACATTCTGATATTGATCCATAGAAATCAAGTGCTTACAAATGACATATGTGATGAATACAGAGAAGTAGGGAAAGATCTACTTGAACTGATGCAGATGAAGTAAGCAGAGCCAAGAAAATTATACAATGACTGTAAGAACTGCATATCAAAAAATCAAAAGTGAATTTAACAAATTATAAAGATCAAGCATGACTCAGATCAAGGGATATGAGAAGACACTCTCAGCCTGTCACTTCACAGAACTGGAAGGTCCACAGATGTTAAACACTGCACATTTTTGGACCTCAATGTACAGATGAATTGTGCTGATTTTCTTCTTTTAAAAAATGTTTTTTGTTATATGGGATGGCTCTCTGGGAGGAGGGAGGATATTAAGGATAACTATGATGTTTTAAAGAAACGATACATTAATGAAAACTAATTTTCTAAAAAAAAAAATCCACCCCACCCTCAAGAATGTAGTCATCTTTACTTGGTAAATTATTCTTGCTTGCAAACTTTTATCTTTTGCTTCTGGAAATTACATCACAAGCTGCTCCTCTCCTTTAAAATGGTAGATGTTTTACAATTTACAAATTTACAAATGTCTTGTGTAATCTTGACTGTGGCTCCTTAGTACTTGAACTCTGACTACTTGCAGGATTTTTTCTTGGACTTTGAAGCTCTAGATTTTAGCTATGACATTCCTAAGAGTTTTCATTTTGGTTTTTTGTTTTTTTTTCAAGAGGTGATTGGCAAAGTCTTTCTCATTTTACTTTCCCCTTCTCTGGTTCTAATATGTCTAGTTTCTTGAAATATATGTAGGCATTTTTATGGTTGAGGTTTTCCAGTAAGGCCAATGATTAAGAGTCTCTCTCCTTGATCAAATGTTTCCCAAGTCAGTTGTTTTTTATAGGAAATACCTTACATTTTCTGTTATTTTTTTTTAAACTTTGTTGTATTTTTAGTGGTCTCATGGATTCAGTTCTCTGTCTGACCCAGTCTGTCAAGGAGTCCATTACTTGAGTAAGGTTTTGTACCTCCTGTGTTCAGCTATTTCTTATCCTTCCAATTTTCTCTAGAGCTTTCATTTAACATTTATATGATCATTTTTCAATTCTTGTTTCTTACAGGAATCCCAGTAAAGTTTGTGGCAATCTGTAAATTTGAGTATTTGTTTGTAGATAACATGGAGTTATTTTCATTTTCTGGATGTACTTCTTGAGCATCCTTGGCTATATAATATTTCTTAATCATCTTTTTCTTCTGTTTATTCATTTTCCCAGCCTTATTTACTGAATTGGAACTTTGTGCCAGGGACCAGACTCTGTGCACTTCTGGAAAGAATAGTCAGGCCTTCTTTGATACTAATCTGCAATTTCTGGATTCTAGGTAATATAAGTCATTTGTGTTTTACAAAAACCTCAGCAGTGGCTAGTGAAAACACTACACTGGGATGGTCCATATAGGATTGTCTCCACCAGGGTGATTGACGTGAAGTGTTCTAATCCATCCTGGACCCTGTTGCCCTCCTGGTCGGAGCTCCACAAGCTTTTGAAGTTGCTGGGGGTCAGAATAACATGGATGCCCTTGGCTACACTCTTTTCTGGGCTCCTATCTCTCTGCCCATAACTTTAGGCCCTAGACCCCTGGCCTCCCCCCTTGTCCATGTTCTGGGAAGCCTTGATGTATGGAGCTCCCCAGTCAGGCTACTCTGGCTGGCTGGACCCCTTCCCTAAGGCCCAAAAGCTTCCCAGGCTATCTTTTTGTGAAGACCTGAATTGTCAAAAAGTACTTATAGTTTCTCCTTGGACTTCAGCATCCCTCAGGTTTTTGTTGTTGTTGTTGTTTTAAATCATTGCTAGAGTAGCCGTGGGAGAGCTGGGCTACTCCACCTCAGCTTTGCCCACTGGAATCCTGGCTCCCTTCAATGAGACTGAAGGGCCAAATCCTGCACAAGGTCACTCCAGAACCTCAGCCCTTTCCTCACATTGTGAATGCTTTTCAATCCTCCATCACTGAAATGATATTCTATATACTATTCTGTGCCCACATTGTCTTTTTCCAATAGAATGTAAGCTGCTTGAAGGGGCTATTTCATTTTTGTCCAACACAGTAGGCACTTACGTATCTGTTGAATTGAATTAATTCTCAAAGGCAGATATGCCTGCATGGAAAGTAAGAGTGACCTCGGTGACCCACCCAGCCCACATCATGCTCCCATGAAAAACTTTGGTTGAACTTATTTCTTATCTTATGGCTAGAGGTGAACTCAAAATTTTGAGTTTTGGCAGCTAGGTGGCACAGCAGATGGAATGCCAGGCCTGGAGTCAGCAAGACTCACTTCCTGAGTTCAAATCTGGCCTCAGGCAATTACTAGCTGTGTGACCTTGGCCAAGTCATTTCACCCTGTTTGCCTCAGTCTCCTCATCTGTAAAATAGCTGGAGAAGGAAAGGGCAAACCACCCTGTATCTTTGCCAAGAAAACCCCAAATATGGTCACAAAGGGTTGGACACGACTAAACAACAAATATTTCTGAAACCATGTAAAAATAAATGTGTAATTCATCTAATTAGCACAGTCATGGCAACTTCAAATAAACTTTAAAATGTTTTTCATGTGTTTATTGCAAAAATTACAATCTTAAAAATGTTTCAAGTAAGAAACAGCTTTACAATACATTTCTTCCTGATGCTAAAGCATCTCCCTGAATTCACCGGAGATGATTTAGAATATTGTAAACATCAGGAGAGGCAGTGCAACATAGACGACACAGTGCTGGACTTGGGAGTCTGGAAGAGCTGGGTTATATGCTGACACTGACCACCTGTGTGCCCAGGGGCCTGCCCTTAGCTTCTCTGCACCTCAGGTCACTAGGTGAGATGATGTCAGGAACGGGTTGCAATCTGAATCTGTGGGGTGAGTACCCATATGATGAAAGTCACAAGTCCTTGCAAACAGACTATTAGCTCGTTGAGAATTGGGTTCATTCAGTCTCGGGCTGGAAGAGACCAGAGCGGCCGTCCAGTCCAGCTGATTCCTGAACAGGAATCTCCTCTATGACGTCTGTGACAAGCCATGTCCAGGGAGAGGGAACCCTCCAGCTGACAGGCACCCTGCTGCCCTCTTGGCCAGCTCCCATTCTGAAGCAGTGTCCCCGCCCCGTAACAGGCCAAAATCACTCTCTCCAGCTTCCGCGCAGAGCTCCATTCACAGCTCAGTGGTTCATTGCCTTCTCCATGAAACCTAACCCTCACCTCCCTATTCACATGGACGCTGTCCTCCTCCAAGTCCTCGGTTATGTCCTCAGCTGGGCTTCAGCTCCACAGAAAAGTCAGTTCCTCGAGGGCAGCGCCTGTTTTGTTGTCTTTTTATCCCCAGTTTCCAGCAGAGTGTCCTGCACAAGCTGGGTGTTTCAAGTTTGCTAAACTGAATGACCCGTTTCTGATAAAGTCCTTCAGGATCTGAGTGACCGGTGCTCACAAGCCACCTGTACAGTAAATCCCAAGAAGGCTCTCCCCTGTTTCCCATTTTGAAAATCCAGACATTTCCCTTTTCCAGTTGTTCTCCAGAAGGTTTCCAAAGACCAGCACCAGCCAGCTCTTTCAGAACCCTACGAGGCAGCTTGTCTGGGCCGCGTGACTTGAACGCACTGTGGAAACCAAGCCATTTCTTTATTCGTCTTGGGTTTCAACTTCTAGTCCAAAGGTACTTTTTGACAGAGAAAACAGAAGTACATCTGGAGCCCCCCGGCCTTCTCTCTGCCGCCCATCATCCTTGACCCAGCCTTGGACAGCAGTGGTCACATACCCCTGCTTTGATCTTCCTCTCGTTCCTAACATAGCTAAAAACACACAGAGTTTGGCCAATCCTTGCTTGGAGCTGCTGTGATCTGGAGCCATCCTTGGCCTAACCCTAAGCCCTTCTGCCTTCATCCCCCATTATAAGAGAGGATGGTGGAAGGAGTGCAGGATGTGGGGCTGGAGGCCCTGGGTTCACTACCTATGAGACTTCTGAGTTTGTTTCCTCATTTGTAAAATGATTTCCTGAAGGTCCCTTTCAGGACTAAATCACATCATTGATGAATAGATCCAATTCTCAATCCAAGATTCTCCCCAAGTTCCTAGTGACTTTCCTGCTTCGGGCAGTGAGCCCAAGTCTTGAACCCTGGCATCTGGGGGCGGTGCCTAGGGGGAAGAACTTTCCTGGCTTCCCACAAGCCTGAGGTTTTTCTATGAGAGGTGACGTCACTCTTCACCTTTTCACAGTCAAGTACAACGAGGTTTCTATAGTCAACATCTTGTAAAATCGGCAACAAGGAGCTGAGTGAAGAGATGAGGTAGATAGACTATGAGTGGGTCCAGTTGTGGGGCACCTGGGAGTGGGTGCTTCTCCTGGGGAGGGGCAGCACGAGACTGGGCCAGACACTGCCAGGAGAAGAGCTGGGTCCAGGGTATTTCTAGACAGTCAGCGAGCACGCAGACAGCAGTTCTATGCTCGTTACCTGAATGCTCTCACCTGGGACATGTCCAGTCACCTTTTCATCACTGCTGTGAAGGAGACCTAGGAGGGAGAGACGACACCCCAGGTCTGTGGTCAAGGGCTCTACAGATCTCCCAGCTGAGGGTGTTTCTTACCCTCCCCCTTGCCCAGACCTTTCCAACTCTGCCACTGTCTTCACGTTATCCCAGAGTGGGGCCAAAGCCCTCACCTCACCCTACAGAGCAGACTGCAGGAAGATAAAGACGTACATTCTGGAATACCCAAGAAAGGCCTCAGGAAATACAAACTGACATTCAGCTGGGAGGTATAATCCCTGGGGAGAAGGAAGCCAATGCCAGCTGAGCTCCCCCAGGAGCCGAAAGGCCATCTCTGTGCCAGACTGGAGCCTGTGAGCCCAGACACAAAGACTGGGCCATATTCTTTTCTATGCCCCAACCAAGCTAGGTGGCCAGCAGACTTGACGGCCAGCAAAGATGGTGGGGATCAATGTTTAGGAGGCCACGTCTTACAGTGGTACCCAAAGTGGCATTCTGGTTCAAGATAACGAATGGTCTGATGACAGCAATTTTATGCCTTGCCAGGTGACCTAGCAGTCAGCGCCTCTCCCCTTCCGGACCGTGCCTGGCTGGCAGCACCCACAGTCAGGAGACATTTGATTCCTGGGGCTCTTCCTAAATTCGGTGTCTCCTTGCAAACGTATCTGTGGCTAAGCTCACCCAGGAACAACGTGTCATCTGCACCGGAGGCACCGTCTGCAGCTAGGTCCCTGCACCTAGCCCCAGCCCTCCCCAGAATCCCCTTGTTAGGACACCTACCTCCTGCAGGAGCTGCCCCAATGTCTCCTGGCTCCGGATAGGCCTCCTACAAAGGGATGGGGGAGGAGTTGGTCAGGAGGTGGCCACACATCCCCCACACAACGCAGATCCCTGCAGGAGTAACGCACTGGGCTTGTAGGATGTGGGCCCAGGGGGAGCTTCATCATGGCGCTCGCTGGGGCCGGGCCTGTTACTCTAGTTCCTCAAAGACCCGCTATGGACACTCCCTCCCTGCTCTCAGCACCCTACAGACACCCTATAGAGCTGGTCTTCTATGGCCCCCAAACGAATCCCCAAGGCTCAGCCTGAACCTAGGCATGACGGTCCTGCCTTTCACTGGACCCACACTTGGAGCCTGTTCATTGGGGATTGTCTGCCCTTCACTGGCAGGACCTGAGACCCAAGCCAGGGTCCCCTGACCCCATGAGGTGGGAGGAACAGAGAAGACCGAGGGGTGGGACCGCTCAGGAGGCAGCAGGTCAGGAGAACAGGGAGGACAGGCTGCCTCGGGGCACGCATACCTGTCTATCTGGGTGGCTATGATGACGGTGAAGTCTCCCTCCGTATCAGGCAGGTAGGTGGAGGGCACGATCTTGTAACTGCCCGACGAGAGTCGACACAGGTGGCTTACTTCCTGCGCATAGCGGTGAGGCACGCAGCTGAGCAAGGGCTCGAGCTGGAGCAGGGAGGAAGACCCCCGCGGCCAGCCGCTCTCTGGCATCTAAGGAGAGGCAGAGAGAAGGCAGCCGCTTTAAGCTCCCCTGTGGGAAGGATGTCAAACCCCTCTGGCCCCAAGTGCTGCCCTGGCGGACGTGAGCTCCAACAGGGAGGCCCCTCCTGGTGGCAGACTCAGCCCTGCAAAATGCTCAGGCTATCAGGAAGGCCTGCAAGAGACAGGACAGACCTTCTGGGAAGAGGGGCAGAGGGCTCCAAACGTGCCTCTCCAGCCCTGACCTGCACCCCCCGTCTGCCTGCCGGCCATCTCCTGCTGAATGTGGAAGCCACAGATCACTGAAACAGATCCATGGTCCGCACAGTTCACGAGCATTAGGACTACTGACTATCGAGGGAATACACAGGTGTGAAAGCTCCAGTTAATGGTGGGACAGCACCAAGCTGGACAGAGCAAAGTTCTGGCAGAACTAATGTCATTTTCTGTATCTGTTCCTACCGTGGGCCCTTGTGATCCATGGGTTAGATTTAGAACCTCTGTAAAGGCCTTGTCTGCATCTTTTCCCTACTCTGTGTCCCCCATGCACACAGAGCGTCCGCTAGCAAGCAAGGATTTTAGAAGCGTCTACTTTGTCTCCATGCGGCACCGGGGATGCGATGACAAAAAGCAGCTGCCTCTTCCTCGAGCAGCAGGAGACGAGACGTGCACGTAACGTATGTACAGAGGAGGTTTACGGAAAACAATTGCAAGGTAGGGGCATGGGGCGCCAGGGGTGCAGGCATCAGGAAAGGCTTCCTGTTGAGGGGATGTCTGAGGGATTCTTCGAGGCAGAGGGAAGGGAGAGCGGTGCTCCCAGCTGGAGGGATCTGTGCAAAGGCCAGGTGAGCAGGCTATAAATGTCCCTGGAGCCTCTCTGGGCTCCTGTCTCTCTGCTGACCATTATTATTGACCCATTCACTTTGAGAAACTGAGGCGCAGACAAGTGTGACTTGCCCAAGGTCAATCAGGTGGTGTCAGAGCCAGGATTCGAATCCAGGTCTTCTGCCTGCCTCCAGATCCAGCATGTTTTTCTCAGTATTAGCCAGTACTCAGGACTTCTCAAATACCAAATCCAGAAGTATAGCTTCAAGTGGGGAAATATGAAGTATCTAGAATCACCAGTATCTCCCATGAGCCTTAAACCAAAAAACAAGTTAGCTTTGGGGACAGGAGTGCTGCTCGGCCAAGGCAGGATGCTCGGGACAGAGTCTGGCAAACAGGGAGAGGAATGAAGGAAGAGGTCTCCTCGTGGCCCAGAGGACCCCTGGAATTCAGACCCGCTGTGGGGAAGGGCCAGAATGGCTCCAAGCAGACGCCCACAGCCTGGCTGAGCCGGACTCAGAATCCCAGACTGGCTTGGGCCTCTTGAGAGCTTCCTGGCCTCAGGGTAACACACAGCAAGCCTGGTCTCCCCCAGATCCTGGGCACTCTAATGGCCAGCCAACCAGGAGTCCTAGAACCAGCTAAGCTAGGTACTATCTTCTGCGCAGTGACTTGTCACCCAGGGCATTCATCCCCCTGGCTCCACGCCCGTCACCAAAGCTGCTGCTGGGAAATCCCCCTGGGCCCCTCTGGGGCTCTCCAGAGAGTCTGATCCCACAGGACTATGGGATGGCTTTTCACAGGTCAGGCCAGGCCTTCACCCAGACAGCAAAACTCGCCCGTTCTGACGAGCACTCCCGCTCTCTCTTCTGCCACAGCAGCCTAGGTTGGAGACCTCGGGCCATACACAGAGCAAGCCCAACAGAGACATAAAAACCCTGGGCCCAGGGCAGCTGGGTGGCCCAGTGGATAGAGCTCCGGCGGGGAGTCAGGAGGACCTGAGTTCAAATCTGGCCTCAGACACTTGACACTTATTAACTGTATGACCCTGGGCAAGTCACTTAACCCCAACCGCCTCACCAAAAAGCAAAACAAACAAACAAACAGAAATCCTGGGCCCCTCCTCCCCCCGCCCCCACCCCCCGCAGAAGGCAGAGAGCATACCTGGAAGATGTGGAAGCCGATTGGGTGACACTCACTGTCCTGGCAGTGCTGGCGCAACGTGACTCGGATGCTGCGGGGGCCCGTGCCCGGGGGGACGAAGAGAGGGAAGCAGGGATTGCTGGCATAGGATGGGAAGTTCCTGCTGCCCCCTGCAGAGTGCCCACTCCTCCAGCATCCTGTCAGCTGTACTGTCTCCCACTCCCCAGCAGGAAAGTCTTGACAGGCGGAGGCACTACCAGAGGTTGGCTTGATTTCACTGCCCAGTGAGAGAGGACAGAAGGAGAAAAGCATGAAGATGGGACGGGGGAGGGGGTCTTCGGGGGTCTTCCTTAGCTGCTTGAAGCACAATCGAGAGAGGTCCTGCAGAAAGCAGCTGGCCTGTCTGAGGGGACCCAGGAAAGCTGTTCCCGCGCTCGCCTCCCTGTCTGGCTAACGGTCCGGAGGCTGAGACGGGGAGCTGGCCAGGGGTCTTTCCCCTGCCCCTCTCTCACCTGAGCGAGATCCTGCCACTGGCAAACACTCGCAGCAGGAAGTGCCCAGCGGCGTCCTTCAGGAAGGTGCTGGGGACCACCAAGTAGTAGCCCGCAGAGAGGGCGCAGCGCAGGTGGACTTCCCGGTCATACGTGTGGCAGGCAGTGCCTGCCACAGGCGGGGCAGACAGGACCCCAGGCAGGCTGACCCGCTTCTTCTCCACCTGTGGGGCACAATTAAAGACAAAAATTCAGCCCCACTCGGCCCCTCCTTCCACGGCAGGGCCTTACATTGCTTCCCTTCTCAGGAAGTCCCCTGAAAACGCCAAGGGACCCAGTCATTCATTGAGTTGAGCGGAGGTGGGGCTCAGGCCACAGAGAAGACCCTGCCCCGCCCCCCTGAGGACTCTAGGAGGAGCTGAGTCCCACCTGAAGTCAACATGGCAAGGAGACTGCCAAAGCAGAGGGCATCCTGGGACTGTGACCGCAGTGGACAGAGAAGACACATGACCTAGGCCTAAGGGCCTGTTCCAGGATAGGAGATTCATAGCTTCCTGTACTATCAGAGCTCAAGAAATAAACCCAGCTCTGGAACAAGGTCCATTCTGAGAATGACTGAGGACAGCCGGCCTCCAGTACGCTTCAGCACACAAAAGAATGAATGAATAAGTGTAGTCACCACAACTTTAGAAAATTCATCTACAAAGCTTGGCTCTGAAGAATCACAAAGAAGTCACAAGCTTCTCACAGTTGGGACTGGAGCACACGCCCCGGCTGCTTCCCTGCCAGCCCCCTAAGCGGCTCCCGTGGCTGATGCCACATGGGGATGATGAGAAGTCCAGGGACCCCCTGCCCAAGCACACGCTCTCTGGGTTTCTGGGCTCAGGTGAGAGGAAATGAAGCTAGTCAGAGAGCTGCTGCTGCTGAAATCAGCCACCACCACTCATTTCTTGGGTCCTCACCTGTCCCTCCTTCCTTTCCTGTTGTTTTTACAAAGACAATGAAGCCTCAGGGACAGAAGCTTCCAAAGTACAGCCAGACCTGGCTGCCCGGGTTGCTCTGTGCCCCAAAGGGCAGCTTTAGGTGACTGGAGCCTAAGAGGCTTGCCAAGGCAACTGAAGGCTCCTCTTTACATCCATGCATCAGGTGACCCCAGGGATGGCCCCTGGTACAGGAGCTGTAGAAAGAGGAGCCAACCTAGTGTAAGCACCCCCTGGGGCACCCACAAAACTGACTGACCCACGGAAAGGGGGAAGAGTGTCATGACTTGTAGATTCCAGTCCCCCAACAAATATCAACATTGACTCTACCACCTGACAAGTGAGGTCCAATGGCAACTGCTCCAAACCTGCCCCAGACACCCCCCAAAAACCAGGGGCCTGGCTCCTCTCCTCCCCCCTGCCGCCCCCGCCCCAGGGGCCCCACTGTCCTCTTGCCGGCACCTCCCCTGTAAATGGCAGCCCAGCTGGGGAAAGCCCTTCAGGTGCTCAGGAGGCAGCTGAGCGGTGAGGCTCTGCCACATCGCACCTCGGACACAGGGCAGGCACCTCCAGACGCACACCATTTCTATCGGCTTTTGGGATGTTTCACAGAATCACTTTTCGTGATTATTATTACTGCCTCTTCTACCCTGGGCAAGCTAGATGCATTTTAATTTTCGGAGTACCACCAGCCAGGGAAAGCCACCCAGAAACATGCTAGGCGGCACAGGGAAGATAAATAGCCTCGCCTGGTGTTTCACCTTTGGTACCGTCAGCCCAGATCGCCTCTGGCGAGCTATCAGTCCTGTCCCCCCCACCCCACCGTCCATCCGTCAAGGCCGCTGGATGCCACTTAGGAAGGAGGCAGCAGTTTCCTCAGCCTCATTTCTCCCCTCTTTGTTTGTTACCTTCCACACGTGGAGTCCCACTGCTTGGTAATCCTTCCCGGGGAGGCCCTGCGGGCTCAGGGCTGGTCTGCTGCCTCTGCTTGGAGCTGGGGCCAGGATCCTGCCTGCCCAGTCAGCCTGGCACATTCGGGGTCTCTGCAGGAGGGCAATGCATACCTCACTTGGTTCCAAGACCCGCAGCCAGAATTTGGGATTGCTAGGGAAACTGCTGTTGTTACGGCAACCTCCTGCAGACTGCCCTTTGACCCAGGCCCCAGGCAGCTTCTGAGTGTGACGTAACACCTTTGCTAGTACAAAAACACACAGAGCATGTCAGCTTGGGGAAAACGAAGTCACTCAGCCCCTGCTTTCTCTTTGTGCTCAAGAGAAAATGATCCGTTCAGAGTGGAAGCCGTGATAATGGCCCAAATATGGATTGCATCCCCCAAGGAATGGTAGGCAATCTCATCCTTCCTTAAAACAGAAGGATAACAGAGTCTTTCTACATAACAGGAGGAAAGTGGAGGCCCTGAAGGGAAACTGAACAGGGCTGTGCTTGGAGCTATGTGACAAGGCCAAGGTGAAATCAGCATAACTTAGGAGCTGCTTCTGATGCTCCTATGGCCTGACCATCGAGCCTCGAGGCCCAGAAGGTGCATCGGTAAGGCCTCTCTGAGACGAGGTAGGCCGATGCAACCTCCTTGGGGAGCTGGGCCCGATACCCCCTTCCCACTGCAGCGAACCTGTCCAAACTCACCACCTACCGGTGTAGAGGCTCTGCAGGTGGCCCTCCTCTGTGACTGGGTAGCCCACGGTGATCTCATCAAACTCTCTGATAAACTCCTCTTCCTCAACCCAAAATTCCCCTCCCTGGAGCTGGGACAAGAGTTCAGAAGCGTCCGCTGGGTCTAGCTGGCTCCATCCCTCACCTCTGCAAAAAGACAGCCGAGCTCCCTCAGCCTGACTGCAGAAGAGACAGTCCATTTCCCAAGGAGGGGGTAACGCACAACGCGCCCACTGAAAACCGCCAGGCCCTGGGAGTTCCCAGCACCTGGCCACTTGTATATCTTTATGCACCCCAGTCATTCTATATGTCCTGGACTCTTCGATGATGAAAGCCTGCCCTGGCACTGCTCAACACCACACCTCTCCTGCACCTCTGCCGGGCACCCTGCTGCTTCTCTTCCTAGATAAGGGGTTCCTGACTATGGCAGGAAGGAGCCGCTCAACAACACTGGGCAGGTGGGTGAGTCAGGGCCCTGAGAGGGTGAGGGGTGTAAGTCTACACGGCAGGCTCTCCAAGGTCAGCAAGAGCCTGCACAGTAGGAATGGCCTGGCCCAGTCTCATGCACCAGGTAGAGACCTTGATCCAGGGCTAACCGACCAAAAATCCTGGTAGACGCTGGAAGGATCCTCCGTTACCCTTTATTTCATGGATGAGGACACAAAGGCCAAGAGACAGGGCTGGCTCTGAGAGCTGCACTGGGGAAAGCCATGGGTTTGCAGGCGGCATCACAGCTCCGCCCTGGATGCGCTGAAGTCGCTGGGCCTTCACTTCCATATCCGTGAAATCCAGACATCGCACCGATGACTTCTGAGCCCCCTCCAGCCCTAAACCTAGGACTGGTGCCCAGGGCCTGCTGCTCATTTTCTTATACTAATGAAAGCCTCTTTCTGGCAGAGCACCCCCCACGGGCTCCCGTCTACCCAGCCAGCTTCAGTATCCACCCATATGAAGGGCATTGCCTGAGGGGATATTCAAGTACTTCCTAGCTAGGTGACCTGGCAGATCACTTCAGCTCCATCTTCCTCCATTTCCTCATGTGTGAAATGAAGATAACAGCAGTACCTGCCCCCAGGGTTGTTGTGAGGACCAAGTGGGACCATATTTATAGAGAACTCTGCAAACCTAAAGGTTCCCACTATAAAGGCCAGCTCTTCATGACCAGTTCTAGCATGGGGCCGAGCGCCTAACTACAGAGCGAAGGCCGGAGGGCCAAAGTGCCAGGACTGGCGGCGTCACCAGCATGGGACTTCAGGTAAATCGTCTAGCGGACGACAGAAATCAGTCCGGCACGGATGACTCCACAAGGCTGTTGGCAGCGGATGATAAAGGGACAGATAAACGTGGACTCCTCCCTGACCAGAGCTCCAGCAACAAGGACCAGAAAGCGGGAGACCCAGACCCCACACACAAGTGCTTCAGCGCCCAGCTGTCCCTTCTCAAAACCACCCACCGCTTCTTCCAAAATCCCAGGGCCACGCTCGTTTCTGCAGTGCAACGTGACTCCGGGGGCTGCCACAGCCACAGCTCAGAACACTCACTCCTCTCTCCAGGGCCCCCGCCAGCACCGCCGACCCCACGGGTTCAGAATCCGGAGCAACAGCAGCTCCCTGCCCAAAATGCTGCGGAGCTCCCGTACGTCCGAGACGATGAAGGCGTGAAACTCCCCTAGTTCACTGGCACCTGCAGGAAGAGAAACAGCACAGTCACTGGGGGATGAGGGAGACAATGCTGCCCCAGCCAGCGAGGCCCAGCCCTGAAGGGCGCCATCCTTGGCCTTGATGGCGTGGCCAACCTGAGAGCTCTGGTGGCACGTGCCGCGGGCACCGACCAGGTGGTGCCGGCTTCGCTGAACTGTCTTCTGTCTTTGTTACAAGGAAAGGCTCCCTGGGGGACACACAAACGACTGACTGGACGTCAAAACAGAAGTCTTCAGTGAGACTTTTAAAAGTCAAAAAATGCCAGGCCCTGTTGCTGTACAATGAGAATTAGTCCCCTCCCTCCCCATGTAACTCTCAAAGGCTGGTTTGGCAAGACCTTGAAGAAGGAGGGCAGGGCTGCAATTCCTCAGGGTCCCTGTTGTTTAGTCAACTGGTCGTGTCCGACTCTCCGTGACCCCATTTGGGGTTTTCTTGGCAGAGATGCTGGAGTGCTTTGCCATTTCCTTCCCTAGCTTATTTTACAGATGAGGAAACTGAGGCAAACAGGGTGAAGTGACTTGCCTAGGGTCACACAGCTAGTTAGTATCTGAGGCTACATTTGAACTCCCTGACTCCAGACCCAGCACTCTACCCACTATGGCGCCACCTCGCTGCCCCAATGGATCCCTAGCCATCTGCCATTTCCCAGAAGTCCCTTCCCCAGGACCAAAGCAGAGGAGTGATTTGGAGACATTTCTCTACCCTGTATTTCTTCTTCTGGACAAAGATCCATCCAAAGTCACTATGGACCATAGGGTGACTTCTAGTCACTGGGCAAATACACACATGTGAGTTTTCAAGTGTGTTAAAACATGTAAAGGAAGACAAAGGGGAACTTCCAAGGCAGAACTCAAGACGGTGAATATCCTGGACATCCTGGTGTGGACGTGGTGAAGGCAGTACAAGAGGAGGGCTCCCCAGGCTTGGACGGGCTCAGAGCCTGACTTCACTTTAGAAGTCAAGGATAAGAATCCACACTCGTGTCAGCCTTTGGCAGTTTACAAACAGGGCCATCGGTGCCCGGGAAGGCAGTCCAATAAAGACAGCCCTAAGAGGCAAGGCCAGCAGATAGAAGAGAGAGAAAACAGGGAGGGCGCACCTGGGAGAAGCGAAAACCCTAAGTAAAAAGGGTGCCTCAGCTCGGAGAAATGGCATAAGGAGCCGAGAGCCTGTAGTGGCCCAGAAACGTGCCAGTGAGGGGTTTCCTGGAGGGGCAAGTGGGGGCGGGGGGGCATCCAAGAGGGAAAGACTTCACTTCTCCAGGAGGGCCTCAGGACAGAGCCTGGAGACCGAGGGAGACAAAGTTAGAAGGAAGAAGTGTAACACTTCTGGGAAGGGACCTGAATACGACAAAGTGGAGTCAACACAAGAGGACCTGTGCCAACTCGATGAGAATGTGGCTTACCTGGCCAGTATGGAGTTTATTTTATTTATTTATTTTTTTGGTGAGGTGATCGGGGTTAAGTGACTCACCTAGGGTCACACAGTTAGTGTCAAATGTCTGAGGCCGGATTTGATCTCAGGTTCTCCCGACTCCTATCCACTGTGCCACCTAGCTGCTCCCCCCATGTAGTTTATACTCTGAAATTCCCCAAGTGAATAGTTCAAGTTTGTTCTCTGAACTGATTATAAGTGACACATTACATGCCTAAAGTGGCCACGCCCCGGAGAAGAGGAAGAGGAGGAGCACATCCTGTGGCCCAGAGGCAAGGCCTTTCAGGTACAGATCCTCCCTGTTCTCTGGTTTCCAGTGGTGGCAGCAAAAAAAGCTACCCTGAGATGGGGATCCAGGGTCAGATGAGGACAGCAGCTTGGGGAAGGAAGCCTTCTGTTGGGGCGAGATGCCTCACCTCGTCCTAAAGTCTGCCTGGAGGTGGAGGCGAGCAGCAAGGTGGCTTCTGAAAGCCTTGTGGGCTGCTGAGGGCTCCGAGACTAGAGAGGAGAGGGGTTAGGGCAGATGGGACAGCCCCACCGGCAGCGTCCGAGCCGAAGCCGGGGACGTTACCTTCCCTGGAGCTGAGAACCGAGCAGCTTATCACACACTGGTCCTTGAAGTCCAGCAGCCTGCGAAAGGTCCTCTGCTCCAAGCTGCTGGGACTGCTCGCCTTGTCCCCACTTTTTCCTGGGTCCTTCAGGCTCCACCTTTCCGCCAGACCTCCAGTTAGATCCACCAAGGCATCCGCCACCTGCCCTGCCCACAGATGTTCATAGGACCCATACACCCTAGGAAAATGCAACAACAATGACCCCAGCGTGCATCTCGGCCCTCCCTCACCACTCCAACCAGTGAGCCCTTCGCCCCCTCTCTTGGCTTCCTCCTCCCCGCTGCATTAAGTCAGAACTCATTCTTGCTTTCAGCACAGCGATGGGCAACATGCTAGTCACGCTCTCCATCATTTCCTGTCTCTCTCCAGACACATCTGTACTTCCCTCCCTGTCCAGTTTCCATCAAGGTCAAGCCCCACTTTCCCAGGGAGCAAGCCCATCTGATCTGAGCAATGAGATACAAATGCTTGTTTCTGAAACAATCGATCTCAACAAAAATCAAAGTGAGGTTGTCGGTTCACCCTGCTTTAGCTGACCTGTGAGCTCGTAAATGCTCATGTGAGACAGCCTAACCTTAAAGTACTATATAAATATCAGCGATTAGACGCTCATCTTCACTGTTTGAAAAAGCGCCTAGGTTAGGCCAGGGCATCCAAAGTCATTCTAATCAATAATGAAAAACAAGCAAAGATACAACTTTCTATAAACATATCCCTTTCAGATCACTACTGCTGTTCAAAAAACAAGTGGAGAGCTGAAGTGGTTTGGAGAAATAAAAAGGAAGAGGCAAGCTCGTCCTTTCTCTAGAGAGCTATGTCCTGAAATCCATCCCCCAAACAGATGGGGATAAAAGATGCAGAAATAAATCTCTTCACTCCTCCCTTCAGGGTTAACCCCAAACTTCAGCTCTGGTCCCCAGGATCCTTGAGGTTAAATGGGCTTCTGCTGCCAAGCAGAGGAGAGGGACACCTAACAGAGGCAGCCCAGGGAGGCTCCAGGCTCCTCTCCCCCCACCCCTTCCAACAGGGCCCTGGTTGCTGGCGCACATACTTGGCATACACCTTTTCCAGCAAGGGGAGCCAGAACACATCTTCTGTCTGACACTGGGAAAAGCACAGTCTCCCCCCAAGGCACGGTAGGCGGTCATCCACGGTCACCTCCACCCACTGTCCAAACTGCCACACCCGACAGGTAAAACACCCACGATATGCTGGATCCGGCCAGCTGGGCTGTCCTGGTGGAATCACCTATCAGGGAAAGAGGGAGTCAACGAGAAGTCATAACAGAGAAAACAAAGAAATGTCCTAGCAAAAGCAACTATGAACACACCTCTTTACCAGAGCCTGGCCAGATACCAACCATTCATTCCAGACACACTTTCTTATTGCTAAGACAGAAAGGAATTCATTCCTCATTTTTAGGACATTGGTAGTGTTTGAAGCTGTGACTTCAGCAAAGTGGGAAGTCCCAGTGTGGAAACTCCCTCCAGTGACGCAGATTGGCTACTTGTCTGCAGCTTAACGGTCTTAAAGAGCTGCCTGGGACACTGAGAAATTCATTTCATATGCCATGAAAATGAAAATGACTTTTCAGTCAAAGAGTTCAGGGTCACATCAAGTGAGCAACAGCTGAGAGCCATCCTATCACCTTTCACCGTCAAAAATAAGCCCCTAGCCTAAACTGAAATCAAACACAACTTCGCTGGTTTATGAATGCATCTCAGACTCTGGTGGGCAGGTCCCTCTGAGCTGACACACACTAACTGCATCGCTACACTGACCACTCTCGGCTTCAGGAATGTCCCGACAGGTTACCTGTCAGATGACTGGGCAATGATGTGACCCGTTATCTGGGGGGGTGGGGAGGGACAGGATGGCTGCCACTGGGCATTGCTGAAAATGGAGAGCACACGGGAATGCAAAGCTCTGTGATGCCTCTGAAATCCTGAAGGGTCTATCTGTGCCCGCAGAGGTGCTTCAGCTAGGACCATGGACAACCTCCACTGGAGGTAAGCCCAAGTCTACTCTGCATGCCATCCGCAATCCCCTGGACACGCTGGGAGACATAACTATAGCAGCGGGCAGGGCCCTTTCCCCCAGGTGAATTTTTCAAATATCCAGAACAGTTCCATTTCAAGTTCATTCACTGTAAATCCCTGAGGGCACTGGAAAGCTTGGGAGATGTCAGAATCGCCCAGAAACCAACTGGATCCGATTCAGCCAGCAGAGAAGAAACTGGTAGTCTGTGTCTCTGCTTTTAAACTCACCCTGACTGATAACACTTGGCAGGTCCTCACACTTCCAACTAACCATCCTGAGCAGCTACAGCAGAGGCACCTGAAACAGCAAAAACTTCACTGGCCTCTTCCCCAGCTTCCTGCCACCGCTCCCTCACTAGCTTCCTGAAGGGATTCCGGGGTGCAGCAGAGGACGGAGGAAGAGAAGAAGCCTGTGCTTTCCAGCCCCAGCCAGGACAGGGAGGGGAGGAGCCCCCTTACCTGATCCAGGAGATGCTTGCTCTTCTGGAGGGCTGCACAGGCACAGAGGAACCAGCAGTCGCCCAGAATCCCCTGCTTTATCTGGCCTTCCTGTGGGTTATCTGGGAACAGTCGAGGTGTGGAACAAATTTCCTAAAATAAAGAAAAACTGTTCCCAGTTAGATCAGAATCAGGTAGCAGAGTTACCGGTCAAATTTCCCAAGCATCCCCTGTACTAGTTGGCATACAAAGGAAACAGCTGTGATTTCTGACCTCCAGACACTCACAATACAGCTGTAAAGACAGAACTCCTACTACACACAGATTAACCATCAGAGTTAGGGGAGACCTATACGGAACAACGCCAAACCCGGGACAAAACGATGAAGAACGAATGACATGAAGATGGGCTGAAGGGACCCAAATCAATGAAAGGCATGGCCTGAATCCAATGGCTGAGAAATGAGGCCACAGAACATAATATGGAGGATGCCAGAGTCCTGGGCCCTGGGCCATTTAATCCCTGCTGGTGATGTGCACTGAGGCCAGTGCCAATGGAAACAGATCAGCAATAACTACATTGTTTTCCCAGGGCCCTTCACCCTTAGTAGGTGCCCAAAGGAGGAAGGAATAGCACTCAACACCCTAAGGATCACTACATAGAACCGCACAAGCCTAGGCCCTCCTTATGCTCTATAAATAGGCAATAGTGGTGCAGGGGAGAGAGTGCTGGGCCTGCAGTCAGGAAGACTCCCCTTCCAGAGTTCAAATCTGGCCTCAGTTATCTGACCCTGGCAAGTCACGTAACCCTGTTTGCCTCAGTTTCCTCATCTGTAAAATGAGCTGGAGAAGGAAATGGCAAACCATTCTAGTATCTGTGCCCACGAAAATCCTAATGGGGTCATGGAGAGTTGGATACGACTAAAATGACTGTACATCAACCACCCTGCTCTCAGGCGCTTGGCAGTTTGGTTGGAATGAGACTGTGAGCTCCTCAAGGGCAGGGGTAGCTTCCTCCCCTTTCTTTATATCCCCAGCACTTAGCACAGTAGCTGGCACAGAGTGGGTACTCAATAAATGCTGCTTAACTTGAACTTGGGAGAGATAACATGCTGTATAACAAGTGAAGCCTGGCTTTTCACCAACCATCTTCTATCCTAAATCCTGGCATCTTATGAGAGGACCTCAGAAGCCGCCTAAGCCAACCAATACCTGGGCAGCGTTCCTTTTCACAATGACCTCAACAAATGATCCTCTGGCCTTGACCTGAAGACCTCCTTGAGGGGAATCCCCTGGCCAGAGGCAGTCCATGCCACTTTGGGAATGCTTTCATTACTGGGAAGCTTTTCCTCACACCAAGCATCGGATTCTTCATCCCTGGCATGAATTCCGAATGTCAAACAACCGAGCCAGGCCCAGGGTCCAGCATCATTCCACTAGAGAATGTGGACCTTTGCTCATCTCGAGTTCTGGGGTACTTCTCCTGGCCTTGATTCCTCAAATATAAACAGTGGTTCAACAATCTCATTTATGAGTTCTTTCAGACCCAGGGGGATGTTTCAAGTTTCAAAAGACAATTATTTTAATCAAAATATTAAATAATTAAAATATCCTTTAGTATGCTGTCTTGGACTGAACATTAGTAGGCACTGTACAAGTGGGTGCTAAACTGAACGGGGGCTGGGTGTCACAAAATAGAAAATAGTGTGTTCCTCCTCTAAGCCCAGTCCCTGAAAGTAAGATTCTATGGTGCATTCTGGTCAACTTGTAAACCGGCCAGCATCACCTGTGGTCGAAGCCAGGTGATATCTTCTCGGAACTGAGCCAGGGGAGTGGAAAAGGTACAAAACAGGGAAGAGTCACAGGCAGGGAATGAGGCATCCTTGAAGAAATCCTGCTCTAGGGGCGACTCTCTCCCATTCGCCGGCATTTTCAGCATGGCAAAGGCGCACCAGCTGCCGAAACTTTGTCTCCAACCTTAATCTGTAACATAGAATCCGGACCGAGGTTTGCAGGGGAGAAAAAGGCCCCTAACCGGAGCATCAGGGTCTTTCACAGCTAAAAGTTACGCCAGTGTGGGCAGCCCCGGGGACTCATAACGCCCCGATTCCAGATCTGGGGCTTCTCCCCCGAGATCAAATGAACCTGGGGCCGGGTGAGACCCCCAGATCACCCTCCCCCTCGTTTGACAGCCCAGGAAACTGAGGCTCCGGAAGAGGGCTTGACTCGCCTAAGATCACAGAGGGGGTGATTCCAAGGCCAGGAAGCACTGACCACCGGGACTGCTGGCCACACCCTCGTCTGCCCATCAGAGGGGGGGGCAGTGGGGAGGGGTCTGAAGGGGGGGCGGGGAAGAAGGGGAGGCCACGGCTGACAGGAAGAAAGGAAATGGGACAGAGCAGAAGGAGAGGGGAGAGGAGGGGGTCTAAGGCACGGAAGAGAAGGAGCGGGAGGGGGAGGGGAAGGGGGTCTAAGGCACGGAAGAAAAGGGGCAAGAGGGGGAGGGGAAGGGGGTCTAAGGCACGGAAGAGAAGGAGCAGGAGGGGGAGGGGATGCCGGGGAGGGGGATGGGGAGGGTCTAACACAATGAAGAGAGAAGGGTCGGGGAAGGAGGGGGAGCGGGGGGGGGCGTTTAGGATACCGTGGGCCCGTAGGAGGACAAGGGCCACCCGGGGAGGGGGACCAAGGGGCGGGGCTGAGGAGGGGGAGGGGGAGCAGGGAGCGGGGAGAGGAGGGAGGGTCCCAACCCCACCAGTAATTAGACCAGCCACCGCCCAGCCAGTGACGCCCTCCGCCCGGCCCCTCGCTCACCTCCGCCCGGCCCCCGGCCCACTCCTCCTTCCGCTCCAGCTCCGGGAGCTGCCACCGCCGTCCCCAGCCAGCACCAACCGTCACCCACCTCCTGTCACTCCGTCTCCACAGCAACCGCCCCCCACCTCACCGCAGCCAACCGGAGCAGCCCCATTACACCACGTGACACGTCCGGCGAATGACGAGCCACTTCCTCTGAGTCCGGAGTCCTGAGTCCTCCGCGCAGCTGCAGACGCCGCCGCCTCTAGTCTGGGGCGCTTAGCTCCCCCTGCTGGCGGTCGTAAAGAGGGGAAAAAAAAAAAAAAAAAAGGAGCCGTGCCTGTGCCCAAGGAGCTTCTCTTCCAAAAAGTCAGCCTTTCCCTGAACCTCAGTTTCTCCATCTGCATGTAACACTTCTTCTTGGGACACTCCCCAAACCGGCCGCGCACACCTTGGTTTGTGGTCCCCAGAAGGTGCAGTTCCTACTTACTCTCACGCTTCTAGAGGTTATGGGGTGGGGGCGGGGGCGGTGGGGAAACTGTATTGCTTCATGAGCCCCCACCAGTGTGCTTCCCAGTAGAGATCAGCCAATCGTCTCAATCAACTTTTAGCAAAAGTATTTATTAAGAAGGTATAATAAACAAACATTTACCCCACCAAAACCGGGGACACAAATGCACATCTGTGAGAAGAATAGGCTCAAACTTAAAAGTACGATGACACCAAGTGAAGAGAATACATGTAGCAAAGGATACTTCCACTTCTGGTCTTGGCAGTTCTTTTCTTCCTTCATGTAGTCCTCAAGACAGTCAGAAAGAAGCACAGACAAGCAGGATAGTTTTGAAATTAATGTGTAGAATTTATTATATATTTTGTAAAAAGCAAGCAGTATGAATTTACAAAGAACGTGACCCCAGAGAAAAGATATGAAAAGATATCCCCCTCCATTCCCTTGCAAAAGAAGGAGGATCATGGGTATGGAACATTGTTTATATTTTCAGATTTTTTCCTTTTGTTGATTGGTTTTCTGATTACTTTTCCACCTCTTATTCCAATTTTTTCTTTTTTTTTTTTTAAAGATTCTTAATTATATAGGAAAGAGCAGGAGAGGGCTATAGAGGAAATTTGAAGTGATTTATAAACAAATAGAAATTTTAAAGAAAATCCAGCACATGAGTCAAGACTGGGGCAGGGGGAGGAAAGCAAGGGACATGAAATGGAGATTTACTGCCTCATAACATCCTCTCTGTTTTATTGTGTATGGAATTGCTCGTTATTTTGATGTTTAAGTTCAGAATTTTTAAAAAATCAATTCCAAGGCCATATAGTTAGTCAAAGCTGGGCAGCAGAATTAAAACCCAAGTCACTACTGACTCCAATTCTATTACTGCTTCTCTAAAGGGCAAGGATAAATGAAGGTGGGATCAGGTTTGGCAGTTGTGAGGTTGGGCAGGGCAGTCCAAGAAGGTGCTAGGGGGGGATCAGCCTGGGATGATGAGCAGATACAGCCAGGAGCCCTTCTCTTACTTCTTTGTGCATCCTTATCTTTATTCAGGCAGTGTGGTGTAATGCACAGTGCTGAGTTTGAGGCCAGACCTGGATTCAAATCTTGACTCTACTACCTAGACCTCCATCTAGAGCACTGGGTTTAAAAGGGGATGCAAGTGGACAAGGTGAAAATTCTCAGGCTCAAAAGTAGCATGAGGAAACTGAGGCAGGGAAGAGTAGCACTTAAAACCAAAGGGATAAGTTCAGGGCTTCGTCTCCTGTCAGGGCTAGGACATGGGATGGAAAACTGAGACAGTAGACTGAGGCACTTGAAATCCTAGAGGTGAAGCAGAGAAATTCCCCTGCAGTGGAATGGATGAGAAATGGAAGTAGTAAAGCATCAGTGTGGGGGCACTGGGACTCCCTAGGTGAAACTTCATTTTGCAGATAGCAACCCCAGCAACTCTCAGGGCTGCTTTCTTGAGACAGTTGCACAAAAGCTCAGCAGTAAAGCATTGGCTTCCACCAATCACCTCAGGAAAGAAATCCCAAAATAAAAATGCCAAGGAACATTGCAGTCAAATTACAGAACTACCAGGTCAAGGAAAAAATACTACAAGTGGCCGGAAAGAAACAACTCAACTATCAGGGAGGCACAATCAGAATTACACAGGACTTAGCAGCTGCAACATGAAAGGATCGGAGCTCATAGGATGTGGTATTCTGCAAGGCAAAGGAGCTAGGACTACAACCAAGAATCACCTACCCAGTGAAATTAAGCATAATACTTGAAGGGAAAAAATGGTCATTCAATGAAATAGAAAGATTTCAAGTTTTCATAAGGAGAAGACAAGAACTGAACAAAAAATTTGATCTCCAATATCAAGACCCAGGAGAAGCCTAGAAAGGAAAAAAAAGGAAAAGAAAACATAAGGGATTCAATGGAGCTGAACTGTTTACATCCCTACATGGAAGGATGATTCTTGTAATTTTTTTTTTTGGTACTTGTAATTCTTAAAAATTGTACCACTAGTAGTACAGCTAGAAGGAATGTACATAGACAGAGGGTATGGGTACAAGGTGAATTTGAGGGAATGACATAAAAATAATTAAAAAATGAGAAAGAGGAGTACACTGGGTGCAGAAAGAAGGGAGAGGTAGAATGGGGTAAATTATTGCACATGAAGAGGCACAAACATAAGTTCACATGGAGAGAAAGATGGGAGGGCGGGCGATGGGCATCACTTGAACCTTACTCTCATCAGTATTGACTCAAAGAGGGAATAGTATACACATTCAGTTGAATATAGAAATCTGTCTTACCCAACAGAAAGTAGGAGGGGAGAAGATTAAGTAAAGGAGTAGGGGAGGTACTGACAGAAGAGAAAGTAGACTGGGGAATGCAGTTGACAGAAGCAAAATCTGTCAAGGAGGGAAAGGGTGAAAAGAGAGAAAGGACAAACGAGGAAAATAAGATGGAGGGAAGTACAAAGGTAGTAATCATAACTGTGAATGTGAATAGGCTTAACTTGATGTGGTTTGAGAGGTTCAGGTGCCCCCCTCCCCCAAGGACTGAAGTACAGGACAGGGGCATCTAGAATGAATTCATGGACTCAAGCAGTCTTCAAGTCAGGTGGCAAAAAGTTTGCTATAACACTAATATGGCAGGCAGAACTCCTTAGGGAATTTGCAACCTACCAGGAATGATGCTAAAGCTTATATAGGAAAAGCAGTGGATTGCGTGCCAATAATGCTAATTAGGCGATAACATACAACCTTAGTTACAGGCATCATTCACTACTAGAAACTGGGAAGAGAGGTTCCTAAGGGGTATATTTTTGATCTGTTATGTCTGTAACGAAATGGCATTAGGAGTTGATGTCTGTAACTTGACCTCTGGATCGTACACAATAACTGTGGGAATCAGTACGTGACAATTTTGTTGATACAGGATAGTACAAGGGAAATTCTACAGAGGTCAATTTGTTCTCGTAACAGGAGAGACAGTTTGCCTCACTGGGCCCACTCATGGGTTATTGCCAGAGATAGGATCTTTGGGTTGGGGAAAAAACTTGTCAGGGATAGTGGTTTGAGGCTAGGGAGAAATATGGTCTTGGAATTGGGGTCAGAGTACTAGCACCCAAGCACCTCATCAAACTCTCCCATAAAACAGAAGTGGATAACTGAGTGGATCAAAAACCAGAATCCTACAACATGTTGTTTACAAGAAACACACTTGAAGCAGAAAGACACACACAGAATAAAAGTAAGGGGCTGGAGCAGAATCTATTATGTTTCAGCTGAAGTTTAAAAAAAAAAAAAGCAGGGGTAGCAATCCAGATCTCAGACAAAGCAAAAGCAAAAATTTACCTAATTAAAAGAGATAAGGAAGGAAACGACATCTTGCTAAAAGGTACCATAGACAATAAAGTAATATCAATATTTATATATATATATCATGTATTACAACTTATTCATTTAAAAAAGATATTTAATTGTTGTAATGTGTAAGGAAGTCAGTCAATAAACATTTATCAAAAGCCTACTATTTACCAGACATTGTGTTAAGTGCTGGGAATACAACAAAAGGTAAAATACAATCCCTGTTTTCAAGGAACTCGCAGTCTAGTGGCCTGTGTTTCAAGTTAAGAAGACTTGATTTCAAATCTGGCTTCAGACACTCAGTAGCTTTTTAGTCGCTTTTGCCTCAGTTTCCTTAACTGTAAAATAGGAATGATAAAAAAACATATATGCACCAAGTGGTATAACATCCAAATTCTTAAAGGAGAAGTTAAATGAGTTACAGGAAGAGCATTACAAAATGTAAAATAGACCATTTTGATTATATTAAATTAGAAAGCTTTTGCACAAACAAAACTGATGCAACCAAGATTAGAAGGAAAGCAGAAAGCTGGGAAACAATCTTTACACCAAGTGTCTCTGATAAAGGCATCATTTCTCAAATATATAGAGAACTGAGTCAAATTTATAAGAATACAAACCATTCCCCAATTGATAAATAGTCAAAGGATATGAACAGGCAGTTTTCAAATGAAGAAATCAAAGCTAACTATAGTCATATGAAGAAATGCTCTAACTCACTTTTGGCTATAGAAATGCAAATGAAAACAGTTTTGAGGCACCACCTCACATCTATGAGATTGGCTAACATGACCAAAAAGGAAAATGATAAATGTTGGAGAGGATATGGGAAAATTGGGAAGGTAATACATTGTTGGTGGATTTGTGAACTGATCTAACCATTCTGTAGAGCAATTTGGAACTATGCCCAAATGGCAACTAAATGGTGTATAACCTTTAATCCAGCAATACCACTACTAGGTCTGTATCCCAAAGAGAAAAGGACCTACATGTGCAAAAATATTTATAGCAGCCCTTTTCATGGTGGCAAAATATTGGAAATTTAGAAGATGCCCATCAATTGGGGAATGGATGAACAAAGTGGGGTATATGAATGTAATGGAATACTAATGTGCAATAAGAAATGGTGAACAGGTAGATTTTAGAAGAACCTGGAAAGACTTGTATGAACTGATGCAAAGTGAAATTAGCAGAACCAGGAAAACATTGTACACCAGGATCAGCAACATTGTAT